TCCTCACAGCCCATGGGGAGCCGTTGATGGTCACTCGCAGTGCTGAAGCAAATGGATACGTTAATACGGTCTATTTCACAAACTGGTGAGCGTTTCAACTGCCTAGCAGAACATACTTGATGTACAGGTACTAATAGGCTACCTAGGGGTGTATCTGGGAGAAATTACGAGCCAAAAGATCTTCCAGTTTCAAGTATTACCCATCTTCTCTATGCATTCGTGGGCGCTCGCGCTGACGGGACTGTGTATGCAACAAGCTCCACCCCCCCCCCTTCCCCCTTACCCGCAATCCAGCAATTGTATGGTTTATGTAATCTAACGTTCCAAAGCTACTCAATAGACCCCGAAGCAGATATCCAAAAGAATCTCGGTGGCGATCGTAGGTCCTGTCGCTAATGTCCTTGGCTGAGCCTTTATAGCTGATAATATCATCGTAGCTGGTACAATGCCGAATAGTAATGCATATGGCTGTGTGAAAGAGATTTTCCATCTTAAGAAGCAAAACCCACATTTCAAAGTTTTGCTCTCTATTGGGGGCTGGACGTTGAGTTCAACCTTTCCTGCTGTGGCCAGTACGTCTGTGACACGGAAGAAATTTGCCAGCTCAGCGGTCGAACTGATGAAAGATTGGGGATTTGATGGAATTGATGTTGACTGGGAATACCCTGCTGGAGAAGATGAGGCAAACAATTTCCTGTTGCTTCTTCAAGCAGTTCGAGAAGAGTTGGATTTCTACGCCAGGAAACATGCCCGGAATCATCATTTTGAACTCTCGATTGCGGCACCAGCTGGTCCAGATCATTATCGCATTTTGCGCCTCTCTGACATTGGCAACGTAGTTGACCACATAAATCTCATGGCTTATGACTATGCTGGAAGTTTCAGTGCTACTACTGGACACACTGCCAACCTCTATACCAACGACGCAGTTCCGGGTTCAACACCGTTCAGTTCGGACACAGCCATCAAAGCATACTTGGCTGCTGGCGTCCCATCTCGCAAGTTAGTGCTGGGTATTCCATTATATGGTAGATCTTTTGAAAACACCGATGGCCTCGGTCAAAAGTTCACTACCAGTGAGGAAGGTAGCTGGGAAAAAGGTACATGGGGTTATAAAGAGCTGCCGAGGAGTCCTAGTGCTAAGATGTTCTGCGATCAAAAGGCTGAAGGGTGCTATAGCTATGACACCAAAACGAATGAGATAATATCTTTCGATATCCCGGCGATCGTTGAAAAAAAGGTTGCATATATAAAAGAACTTGGGCTTGCAGGCAGTATGTTCTGGGAAGCCTCGGGTGACCGATCTGGGAGTTGTTCCCTCATAGGCA